TAGATTCGGATAGAGCGAAAAAAGTTGGTTTTAACTGACATATAAAGCAGAGAACGTCACAGGACGGTTTTTTTCGTCCTGCCCTGCATTTTTGCAGGACATTATCAAACCATGTCCTGCTTTTCAGGACGGATTGCAGGACATAAAAACCTTCGTCCTGGCAGGACACACTTGCAGGACAAAAAGTCGTCCTGCGTCCTGCCTGCAGGACGAATCTTTGTCCTGCAAGCTTCAAAAAGGTAAAATATTATCTAAATATGAGATATGATGTCAAGCATCCTACAAGTACTCTTTATAGAAGTCATTTATAATGATCCTGTTAATTAATCTAATCACACGCTTTCTGGTAGACATGAAATGAAATGAACAAAAAGTACTAGATATTCGTAAGAATAAAAGGAATCAGAAGATAATCACGATGACAAAGGATTTATAATCTTATTGATACTGAAGATGAGATACAACATCAAAGATGAAAGTATTGTTTACATGAAGAAACATAATATAATTTTATTAAAAAATCTCAAGACAAGTTTTTCAACAGAAATGAAATGAACAGAGAATAATACTGAGATCCATAAGATCAACAAATCAATAGCAGAAGAAACACTAAGATACAAAGTTCGCACTGCAATGAAAATTCACAGATAAATATAAGCTTCTTTTTTACTTCTTGTTTTTGAATTTCTCGTACGAACGAATAAATAATATATTATCAATTTGACTTGGTGATAAACGTGTTCGTCTTTGAGTAACTCTTAATCCAGCGGAACTAAATAACTTTTCCACTGATGCACTAATTGCTGGTATAGTATGTATTTTTCTTGCTGCTATTAACAAAAGCAGGAATTACGTCTAAGAAGTGTTGATTATATTACATTTTTCATGTTATAACTGTTCATCGCTCTACAATTAATAACTAATCACTTTATAGAAATCGCTATGAATCTCAAAATCTTTGTACAACTGATTTATTTCTGTTCTTTGCTTTCAATGTTATCCTGCAGGACTAATAAATCATCCTGCAGGTCCTTCATATAAAAAAGGTTGTCCTGCTCCTGCACTGCCCTGCGAATTGCAGGACTAAATTCCAAAAATGCAGGGCAGGACCTGCGTCCTGCAGGCAGGGCGATGCAGGACCTGCAGGACGCAGGTCCTGTGACGTTCTCTGATATAAAGTTCACAAGTAACTGCAATTTTAATAGGAAAAAATATCCTCTTTGAAATCATGTTCTAAGAATTGGTGCATCCCTACTCTAGTGTATCAATCACCCACGAACAAAATATAATATTGCAGGATGCTTAAATTTTTTGCCCAATACCATTGTAATTATATGCCTCATTGTAAGTGCGTATTTCTACTATATGAAAATCCATAAACTCGTGTTGATTTCATTATTATCACTAAGGATTTGTCCTATTTAACACATCGATATACTAATTCTACTAAGCTATTTGTAATAGTAAGCAATAATAAGATGTTCTCAGGTTTGAGCCATTCGAATTAATTTAAATTTTAAATTTGTCTTTTATAAGTATTGTTTTTCATAGCATCTTTCTGAAACTATCAAATCTAGAAATATGTTTAGAATGGGTGTGAGTGTGTTGAAGAGAAGATCCACGCCTATGCCATCGACAAGCATACCTACATTCACCCACACTCGTACTCAAACCCTTTGCTGGATGCATTCATGTTTCGTGTAGTACTGCTGAATTTCGGATGGGGTTTGTAAAAATGGAGTTCTGTAACATACGTTATTCCACATTATATAATACATGATGTTGTTACTAGAGAATTGCTATAGCGTTGTCTTATGTTATCTATGGGATGTGTCTTGATCGATATTCACACATGATGTTTACAGAGTCTACTTCTGTAATTGGAAAGGCATCCTGAAGAAACGATAAGTGCATTGTTAATAGATTTAGTAGCTGTTTTTGTGTTGTCATTTTGGACAGCGCTGGTGTTGTGAAGACATTGAAAGAGTGTTCGCATGCTAATCCTTAGATTTTTAAAATGATGGGTGCATTGCTCTTTTGGAAGTGTTGTATGCGGTGTAGGTATTAGGCAGGTTTGCACTATATAGCGACTTTTTCACATGAGCGCTTTCTATTCTTTCACTTTTACGTTTTATAACTTATGTCCATTTCAGAGATGAATGGACCTGAGTATTTTTCAAATAACTTTTGATAGGAACGAGATAGAGATTTACGGTTTTCATCTTTGGAAAGACATAATGAAAATGCATCGAACCATATACACCCACACCCACACCCACACCTGCCCACACCCACATCCACCCACACCCACCCACCACCCACACCCACACCCACCCCACATCCCACACCCACACTCACACCCACACCTACACCCACACCCCACACCCACACCGCACACCCACACCCACACCCACACTCACACCCACCCACGCCCCGCATCCCACACCCACACTCACACCCACACCCACACCCACACCCACACTCACACCCACCCACACCCCACATCCCACACCCACACTCACACCCACACCCAGACCCACACCCACCCCATAAACGTGTATAATGTTAGCCGATGCCAGAGAAGAATGTTGCCCGAATTGGTGCATTTAGTTTATTGAAAAATGCAATAATGTTATAACTTTTAAACTATTATATGACTGCTAATGCCTTCATTGTTTTGTTTTCTTCTTGCTATATTTATTAAATAAAGAGAAAAAATACTAAGAAGATTTACAGGTACAAACATTATGACCACCAACACAATCACCATAAATATTATGATGATTAACATGATCAATATGACCACCAGGACTATTAAGAATATTTTTCCTATCACCATAATAATTAATAGCATGATGATTATCACGAAAAGAAGCATGATGATGACCATCATAAGCATTAGTAAGATGAAAAGAAAGAATATTATGATAACAAAAAACATAATAAACAACGCGTTGACCATCATCAAAAGCACTAACAGTACAAGTCGCTCCAGAACGACGATGCCAATTATTCTCATCGAAAATCTCATCACAATTGCTATCACACTTCCAACGTTGCAAATCACGATCGATATTGCGGTCATAATACCAATCACGGCACTTGCCACATTTTGGGCAAGCATTGCCACCACAACCTTCGTCTTTCTTTTGCGTCGGTGGTGGCACACTTGCGGCTGCAGCAGCTACTGGTTTAGATTTGGCTACAGCAGGTGGTGGGGCTTCTAAAGGAAAAGACAATATTTTTAATTATTTTCCACAAATCAGTTTATTTGCTCCCTCGCGAAGCGGGATGATTTGATGCATTATAGCGTGTTCCGGGAGAGTCCTTTTTACGACAGCTGTAGGAAAGGATATAGCGCACTTTAGATTTGACTGCCATAATGGACATAATCGACATAATAGCCATTATGGACTTTAGATTTGGTTGCTATTATGGACTTTAGACCTGGCTGCCATTATGTTCATTATGGCAGTCAAATCTAAAGTCCATAATAGCAATTATTTCCATTATGGCAGTCTGGTCTAAAATCCATTACGGCGATCATGAAAATTAAGGAAATCATAGATTTTTGAACAGTTCAGTGTAGTCGGTGACCAAATTCATTTTCTGGAAATTAATTCGATTCTAAAAACTCATATAATTTCCTGGAAATCGGTATAACGCATCATATGAGCTGGATGGGTGTCGGTGTGAGGTTGAAATGACCATCACCCACACCCGCAAACCAACACCCTTGTGTTTGTCTCTGTTTGAAAGCATCAATATTCAATGTCTTAGGCTCACGTGTCGCTTTGGAATCTCCTTCTCCATGTAGATTCATCTGGTTGAAATCATCATTCACAGCTTGAATTTTATATGAATTGCTATTTGTTGAAATCGTTGCTTCGAATGGAGGTCTAATCAACGTTACTGGTGGTTCAATTTGTTTAACGTGTATTATACGTAAATTTGAACCTTGTTTAATACTTCCCATTACTTCAAAATAGCTGCAAGGCATCAGCAAAACTTCATTTTCTTTTGGAAATTGTGAATGGTTACGAATATTTTTACCATTGAAACATTGAATGTTAAATAGAGTTCTCTGACCTGCTTCGCCAAGAAATGTATCTTTTTGTAAAACGTCTAATGATGATGTGCAGCTGGAAAACCCCCACCAGACAAACTTCTTTCCTTGTGGATATTGATCATCAAGAATTCCTTTCACACCTCGCCAACACACGTCCTTGAAATCTGGTAATTTCCACAAGCCCGTCAGAAACAATTTCAAATAGGAGAAGTACGGTAGGAGCTGTTGTCGATCTTCACTTCGTAGTGCAGCATTCAATTGACGGTACATGCATTCCATCGTATAGAGATAGATAGCGGCACGTTCATCTGGTTCCAGTCCATCTTTTGTTTGCTCACAGTTACCAGTAGCAGTCCAAACAAATCCTTGGATACTGTTGATTATCGATTCGAGGGATTTGACAGCTTTTTCTAAAGAGACGAGCGGTTTCAGTTCATATCCTTGAATAGGTGAGAGACGTTGTTGTGGTTCCGAGTTCACGTCGAGGAATCTTTCAGTTGGAATACAGTCGCCCTGTGCCATCTTGTTGTGTATTTGAAGAAAGTGTAGGTAAGAAGAAATGTTGTTCCTATTGTTTAAACTGAAAGCAAAGTGAAAATGAATAGTGAAAAAATAAAAATAAAAAGCTCTTTTAACGCAAGCGAAAACAAAAATAACAGAACAGAATTTCATCATTCCGATGAGTAGCAACATTGAGAGTTATGTACATATAGAGAGAATGAGAAACATCTCTATGATTCTGTTTCCTTTTAACCAGTGTACACAGTTTCGTTTGAAGCTACTTTCATCTTAATGTTAGAAAGAGAAAATGAAAAGACAAAACAGCTTCAATCGTCAATGGGCGGGTGAGGTGTGAGGATGAGTATAAATCAAAAACGACCACGATCGCCATTTCGATCTTATAAAAAGATCTTACCCAGGAAGAAATTTTAACGGAAAATGGTATTAATATGGCAAATATCTCAACAAAAAAAATGGTGAAAACTGTCACAAAAAACCCTTAATAATGGCTTGAGGGTGTGGGTGTGGGTGTGTGTGGGTGTGGGTGGTGTGGGCGTGGGCGTGGGTGTGGGCGTGGGTGTGGGTGTGGG